GACTTTGTGACCGTGGAAACGATTTTCTCGGTTTCAGAATCAGAAGCTTGTTGGCCGGTGGATGGTGGAGTTTTGAGGAGCTCTTCACATTTTTCCTCCATTGAAACTTGCTCCTCCTCTTCGTTTGGTGGTTGTTCCACTGGTTTCTTGTTTTGCTTCTTGGCCATTGGGGTCTTGAGAGGGTTTGAGTTAGAGAGAGAGATGAGAAGAAGCAAGGAACGTAAATGGACAAAATTTCTAGTATATGCATCTGCATGGATCGATTCACCTTCTTTTGTCAAGCTGTGTCAATAAATACCATTTATTACCATAAAATATGTAGCTGCACCCATTTTATGGTAAAGGAATTAATTTAAGTTTGGCATTTACTGTTGTTGTTGCGAAGCTAATTTTGAAACTCGATATCTAGATAACGTTCAAGTTTTAAAACACAGCGAAGAATCTTTGTTCATGCAATTTTGAAACACAACGAATAAAAAAACATTTATTCAAACATGATATATCTAAATTATCTAAATTATTCATCCTGTTTTTTTTTGTGTGTGCAAATTTACGTTTTATCACAATTCTTATAAGTAACAATTTTGATCAAATATATAAGTGCTAATAACACATTTCTTTTAATATTTACTTATTTGCCGTCACATTACACATTACCTACACAACTTTTTTTTTTCTTCTTGTTCCTTTTCTTTTTGCCAAACGTAACAATTATTGTTGCTGCGAAGCCAGTTTTGAAACTCGAGAACTAGTCTTTCTAATAATTAGTACTAATCAATTCCCTATGTAATCTTTACTAGTAGTATTTTATAAGAATAAAAAACATATATTCAAACAGGATATATCAAAATTATATCGTATCCCACATTTATACTAATCGAAATCATTGTTCACAATGAAACCATGCTAATGAACTCAAGAAAACCCACAAAAGAGATTAAAACCAAATATCGAAATCAAACTTCAACAAATAGACATTCTAAAATGTAAGAGAACATAGCCCAAATAAGTTTTAAACACACAACAACGAATAGGTGTTGATTGCTTTGTGTATGTCGCTGGGTTTGTTTATGTGTGGAATATGGTCTGACAAAGGCAAAACAGATGGGCCTCGGTTAAAGCCCATCAGTGTACAAAGAGTGAAATATGGGTCTTTTACAAGGAAAAGCCCATGAGGAAAATGCTGGTTCGGTTTGTTATCGGTTACAACAACCTGATCAGCACAAGAGCTAAAAACCAGAGGGATCGAGACTTGGAGAGAATCATCAGA